CCAAGAGTCAGATGCTTAACTGAGTTACCCAGGCTCCCCAATAATTGCCTCATTTTAAAATATTTTCTGGGTCACCTGGGTGGCTCAGTCGGTTGGGCGTCCGGCTTTAGCTCAGGTCATGATCTCATGGTCTGTGAGTTCAAGCCCCACGTCAGGCTCTGTGCTGACAGCTTGGAGCCTGGAGCCTGCGTCAGATTCTGTGTCTCTCTCTCTGCCCCTCCCCTGCTCATGCTCTGCCTCTCTCAATCTCAAAAATGAATAAATGTTAAAAAAATTTTTTTTTAATATTTTCTTCATTTTCTTTGAACAACTGATTAAACATTCCCACATCCTCAACAGCTCTATAAAATAGCTGTAAATTGCACTTTATACAAATCATGTTCAGTGATTGAAGAATTATATCCTGGCCCTCATGCCTCCCGCATCCCCTGGATCCTGTCCCAGAGAATCCTCCTAGTGCCTCCCTCCCCCTGCTTTCCAGTCTGCAAGGTTTCACTGCGGGTGCTTCACTCCTGTTTTGTTGGGACTCCATTTGCTGTCACTCTGGGAATTCTCTTTGTCTCCGTTGGATCTTCTGTCTCCTCAATCCCATGTATCTCAATATCCCAATATCTTTTTTCTAAATTGAGCCCTTTTTGGGCTCAATTTAGTGTGTGCGTGTGTGTGTGTGTGTGTGTATGTACATGCAAGCATTCATCCACACTCAAGCACATCCTCAAATAGCTTCCTAGGAAAGATGTCTGGAAAGTACATTTTTTTGAGCCTCTCCATGTCTAAATTGTCTCTTTTTGGGGCACCTGGGTGGCTCAGTCAGGTAAGTGGCCAACTTTGGCTCAGGTCATGATCTCAGTGCCTGAATTCGAGCCCCGCATCAGGCTCTGTGCTGACAGCTCAGAGCCTGGAGCCTGCTTCGGATTCTGTGTCTCCCTCTCTCTGCACCTCCCCTGCTCACACTGTCCCCTTCTCTCTTTCTCTCAAAAAATAAATAAATATTTTAAATTTTTTTTTGAAGATTGTCTCTTTTCTACTCTTTCACTTGATGGAGAGTTTGACTAAATATGGAACACTTGGCTAAAAAATAACTTAAAAATAAATTTGAAGGTCTAGCTCCATTATTTTCCACCTCCCGTTTGAGATGTTTGATGCCGTTCTGATTCATAATCTTCTATTCATTATCTGTCTCACCATTATCTGCGCCCCCCATGTCCTCCTCCCCTTCCAGAAGCTTTTACTATCCTCTGTTTATCTCCAGTGTTTGAAACTTCACAATAATGAGTCTTTTGTTGTTTTTTAAAATTGTTTGTTGAGGTTTTTGTTTGCTTTTGTTTTTTGTCTTTTATTCATTGGGCTGGATACCCAAAGGGCCTTTCTGAGAAGAAGCTCATGTTCTTGAGCTCTGGAAAATTTGTTTATGTTATTTTACCAATACTTTCCCCACCATTCTTTTTAGCCCTCTCTTTCTGGAGCTCCTATCATTCAGCTGTTAGGCCTCCTGAATCAACCATCTAATTTCTTATGTTTTCTTTCTTATTGTCCAGTTATTCACCATTTTGCTCTACATTTTGGATTCCTTATATCCTCCACTTTTCTCAGTTTTTCATTTCTGCCATCCAATTTTTTATTTTTCTAGTTTTTTTTTGTTGTTGTTGTTGTTATCCTCTGAATGTCCTTTTTAAAACTATCATCTTGTATATGGATACATATCATCTCTTATTTCTCTGGGGATAGCCATGACCTTTTTCATTTTTCTTCTCCCTCCATAGTTTGTTTCTCTGAGTTTCTTTTTTTAAACAAGTTTATTCAGGTATAATTCTTTTTTTTTTTTTAAGTTTATTTATTTTTGAGAGAAAGAGCTGGGGAGGAGCAGAGAGAGAGAGGGAGAGAGAATCCTAAGCAGACTCCACACTGTCAACACAGAGCCTGACATGGGACTTGAACTCATGAACTGTGAGATCATGACCTGAACCAAAATCAAGAGTCTGATGCTTAACCAACTGTGCCACCCAGGATATAATTCCTATGTCATTAAATTCACTCATTTTTAGTGTCTAATTCACTGACGTTTGGAGTATTCATTGAATCATTCAACCATCACTAAATCCAGTTTTATTATTTTTTCTTTTTTTTAATGCTTATTTATTTTTGACAGAGAGAGAGAGAGAGAGAGACAGAGCATGAATGGGGGAGGGGCAGAGAGAGGGAGACACAGAATCTGAAGCAGGCTCCAGTCTCTGAGCTGTTAGCACAGAGCCCGATGTGGGGCTCGAACTCATGGACGACGAGATCATGACCTGTTCCGAAGTCGGAGGCTTAACTGACTGAGCCACCCGGGTGCCCCATACAATCCAGTTGTAGAACATTTCTACACCCCAAAAAAATCTCATGCTCCCATTTGCAATTCATCTCCATTCCCATCTCGTCCCAATCAGCCAATAATCTGCTGTGTCTACACATTTACTTTTTCTAGATGCTTCATACAAATAGAATAGTACAATAAATGTTCTTCTGTGTCTGCTTTCTTTCACCTCACATGCTGTGTGAACACCGTTCTCACTGCAGCAGGCATCAGCAGGTCGTTCCTTTTTCTGTCACTGAAGAGTATTCCATTTTAGGGCAATTATAAACATCTTTTTGTTATTTTCATATTTTATGTTGAGCTCTGTGTTTCACATTAGAGGGGTTTTACCAAATGAATGCACTCCCTGGCAGTCTGTTCATATTTAGAAAGAGAGGCCCAAAAAGTTATTTGGAAACTATGTGTGTTCATGATGGGAGGTGGTGCAGTGGGGGCTTCATTATACGTCTTTGAGGAAATTCTCTTGTCAGTGTTTTTCATTCTTTTCTGTTGGGCTGGTAGAATTTTCCAGAGAAGACTCTCCTAATGTCTTGGAATTGAGAGGAAGGAGAAGGCTAAGATGTCACAAATTTTAGGACATAAACTTTTCTTTGATCCCCCTGTTTTCAGTAAGAGATCCCTGCCTCCTTCGACTGTGTCTGTGTGCCTGAGTCCAGAGACCCTGTGTTTTGTTCTCTTCTACTAGGCTGGCTGCACAGAATAGATGAGAGGATCTGGAGGTACTTTCTAAAAAGACTTTCAAACAATCTCTCTATTTTTAGCCCTACCATTATCTGCTCCTCCACCCATGTTTCCACAGCTGTCTGGTGCCAGTTTCTGAGCCTTGGGGATCTGCAGTGTAATGTGGGTTACCTCTCTGCTTTACCCACTGCCAGTTTAGGATTCGTTTTCTTGGATCGCTAATCCATCTACCACGTTTCCACTTACTTTGCAGTGTCTAAAATTTTACTGCTATTGTTTTCTTTACTAGTCTCTTAGGTTTGTGCCTCCATAAAATTCCCTCTGCTCTCATTTTCATGGCATTTTTGTCAGGAATAGAGTACTTATTCAACAAGCCATCTTTAATGTGAATCTCAATTAATTCTTTTTTTAATGCATATTTATTTATTTTGAGAGAAAGAGAGAGCTTGTAAGAGGGGGGAGAGAAAGAGAGAAGGAGAGAGAGAATCCCAAGCAGGCTCTGCACTGTTAGCACAGAGCCAGACGCGGGACCTGAACCCACAAACCACGAGACCATGACCCGAGCCAAAGTCAGATGCTTAACCACCCAACTGACTGAGCTACCAAGGCACCCCTAAATTCAATTCTTTAATGAAAAGTAAAACTTTCAATTTCAAATAATTTATGTAAAAACCTTATCCTCAAAGAAGTGCAGCATAGCTCACCACTCCTTTTATTTTTTTTAAATGTTTATTTATTTTTGAGAGAGAAGGAGACAGAGCACAAGCAGGAGAGGGGCAGAGAGTAAGGGAGACCCAGAATCTGAAGCAGGCTCTAGGCTCTGAGCTGTCAGCACAGAGACTGACATGGGGCTCGAACTCATGCACTGAGATCATGACCAGAGCTGAAGTTGGACACTTAACCAACTGAGCCAGCCAGGCACCTCTAGATCACTACTCCTTAAATGTGTGCTGCACAGAGTGTCTTCCTTTCAAGAGTCCAGAATGAAAAGGGGCAGGGGCTTTGGCTTTATGATGGAGAAAACTGACAGATATCTCAGCCAAGGGACCAAAGTCAACACTAACAGTGATAAGTCATGTTCATAGTGTCCATCCTTGATATTATAAGAAGAGGATGGTACTTGACTTTTGTGGTACCCCTTCCAAAAACCTTTAATTGCAGTCTAATCAAGGGGAAAACATCAGACAAATCCCAATTGAGGAACAATCTACAAAGTACCTAAGTAGTACTTCCCAAAACTGTCCAAGTCCTCAAAACAAGGAGGAACTGTCAAAGCCAGGAGGAGCCTAAGCAAACATAATACATAAATGGAATGTGGTAACTTGGACAGGATCCAGGAACAGAAAAAGAGTATTAGGCAAAAACTTAAGGAAATCTGAATACTGTATGAACTTTAGTTAAGAGGAATGTACCAATACTAGGTCGTTAATTATGATAAATGTACCACACTAATGGGAAAACCAGTGAGGTGTGGGACAAACTGGGTGTGCGGCATATGGCAATGCTCTACTATCTTCATAACTTCTCTGTAAATCAAAAATTATTCTTTTAAAAAGTTTATTTAAAAAATTAAACCTCTCTCATTTATCCTTTGGCTATTTAATTGATACCTTCATGCCAACTGAAATGTGCCAGAATTTGGCTCATTTCTACCTCATACTAAAACTATTAGGCACCTATTCTGTGTGTTGGAATAGTTTATTCGTTCTCTTTTACAGATACTTACCGAGCAAGTACTAAGTTTCAGGAAATATACCTGGTGCTTGGGGCTACAGAGATCAATAAAATATGATTCCTGTCCCATAAGAAGTTCAGATTCGAGGAAAACAGACTAACATAAAATACTTTCTGTATTCTACTTCTCTAGAAACACACCAGCTACCATGAACACATTTTGCTATTCATATTAAGAGTGGAAAAAAATAAGGCTGAAATTCTCTAATTTTCAAAAACTTTTGTTTAGGTGAGATGTGGAATCTCTTAGAATTGTATCACCAGTTAAGCAATATGCAAGAATGATTAAATACCTGGTGTAAAAGGACATATTGAAAACAGAGAAACAAGTAGAAACTTTCTGCCTTTTTTTTTTTTGAGAGAGAGAGATACTGAGTGAGTCGGGGAGGGGTAGAGAAAGAGGATCCCAAACAGGCTCCACACTGTCAGCACAGAGCCCGTTGCGGGGCTTGAACTCACAAACCAGAGATCATGACCTGAGCCGAAATCAAGAGTTGGACACTTAACTAACTGGGCCACCCAGATGCCCCCAAAACTTCCTACATTTTTTAAACTTTATTTATTTTGAGAGAGACAAAGAGAGCGTGTGCAGGGGGAAAGAGGGGTGCAAAGAGAGAGAGAGAGAGAGAGAGAGAGAGAGAGAGAGGATCTCAAGCAGACTCCAGAGCAGTCAGCTCAGAGCCCACCATGGGGCTTGTACCCACAAAACCATGAGATCATGACCTGAGTCAAAATTAAGTGTTAGACACTCAACCAACTGAGCCACCCAGGAGCCCCAGAACTTTCTACTTTTTGACGTGATGACACATCCCCTCACCAACCACAATATCAAGCAGTGCCTCATCAAGAAGGTACAGGAAGCTGTTCTTGACAAATGGGTGAATGACCCTCACCGCATGGACAAACGTTTGCTGGCCCTTATTTACCTAGCCCATGCCTCCGACGTCCTGGAGAATGCTTTCGCCCCCCTTCTGGACGAGCAGTATGATTTAGCTACCAAGAGAGTACGGCAGCTCCTCGACTTAGATCTGGAAGTGGAGTGTCTGAAGGCCAACACCAACGAGGTCCTGTGGGCAGTGGTGGCAGTGTTCACCAAGTAACTGCTCAGAATGAGGTGTTCTTCTTTCAGGTAAGCCAGTTGCTCCAATTCTATTGACTTCTGATTTTTTATAGTTTGTACTTTCCTACACTATAATTGGCTTTTGTTTTATATAATAATAGGTAGCTTTTCTGTGTGTGTGTGTGTGTGTGTGTGTGTGTGTGTGTGTGAATGCAAGAAACTGCTGGTATGAGGGACCTTTCTGTTTAAGTTTAGAGAAAAGTCTTACTGTCATTGGTATTTTGTTCTTTCTTGAGTTTCAGAGAGTTGCCCTTCTCAACAGTCACAGGTTTGGGTTTCTGTTATGTTTATTTCAAACTACCTCCAGGTCCACATGCACTTCATTAGCATCTCGTCAGTTGCAAACTCTCCACAAGTACAAATTCTTCTGTACTTCTCAAACCCTGAGGGAGAAACCACACACACACGAAGTCAGACGCTTAACCGACTGAGCCACCCACATGCCCCATGGGAAGAGGGGGTTTTTATGCCAAGTCTCAAAAATGATGTTACCAGACTCCGGTATGTGGGGGAAATAGAGAGATGTTGGTCAAAAAGTACAAACTTACAGTCATAAGATGAATGAGTTCTGGTGATCTAATGTACAGCATGGTGTTGCAAAATGACCAGCACACTAAGTCTAGTTAACATCAACCTCATCTATTTTCACTATTAAATCATAAAGGTGAATTGCTCCATTAAGCCATTTGGGATGTGATACATCCCACGTATGCTGCATGTAGTGTGGGCTTCACATGAATTGCTCTTTGCTCTGCACACCATTTAGGAGGTAGGGAAGTGCTGGGGGGGTTAAATGAATAGCTCAAAGACATCCAGAGTCCTATGTCTTTTTTCCTCATTTTCTCTCTGTAATTCTCAGATATTGCCCTTTGATTCAGATACTCTCTCATGTTGCAAAAAGGACAGTAGCTCCAAGGATCCAACTCTTGCACAACAATTTCCAAAGACGGGAAGAAGTGAAGAGGCTCATGTCTTTTCCTCATGTGCCTTTTAAAGAGTTATAAAACCTTATTCAGAACCCCCAGCAGGTGCACTCTCATGTCTCATTGGCTGGATTTATATCACATGCTCACTTCTAAACCAATCATGTATTAATCAAGATTCACACCTTGTGGCTCTTCAGAAGGACTCTGTCTCTTCTGGAGTACATGGTTATTGGATGTGGGAGAGGAGGGACAGGATAGTCTGTGAGCAAGAAAGAAGGAAAATTTGTGAGCAATCAGTATCTGTCTTCCATAGTCGCTGACAATGAACATCTTTTCACGTAGTTATTAGCTACTTCCACTGGTCAATTTTTGTATTGCTATACCAATACCCTGCTGTTCAAATAGCTTTATAATAAGTCTTGATATCTGTGAAGACCAGTCCTTCCTCAAAATTGTGTTGGTGATGCTGAGCCCTTTGCTCTTCTATATGATTTATTTTTATTTTTATTTAATTTATTTTTTAAATTTACATGCAAGTTAGTTAGGATATAGTGCAACAATGATTTCAGGAGTAGATTCCTTAGTACCCCTTACCCATTTAGCCCATCCCCCCTCCCACAACCCCTCCAGTAACCTTCCATTTGTTCTCCATATTTAAGAGTCTCTTACATTTTGTCCCCCTCCCTGTTTTTATATTATTTTTCCTTCCCTTCCCTTATGTTCATCTGTTTTGTATCTTAAAGTCCTCATATGAGAGAAGTCATATGATATTTGTCTTTCTCTGACTAATTTTACTTAGCATAATACCCTCCAGTTCCAACCACGTAGCTGCAAATGGCAAGATTTCATTCTTTTTTATTGCTGAGTAATACTCCATTGTGTGTGTGTGTGTGTGTGTGTGTGTGTGTGTGTGTGTATATATATACACCACATCTTCTTTATCCATTCATCCATTGATGGACATTTGGGCTCTTTCCATACTTTGGCTCTTGTTGATAGTGCTGCTATAAACATGGGGGTGCCTGTGCCCCTTCAAAACAACATTACCTGTATCCCTTGGAGAAATACCTAGTGGTGCAATTGCTGGGTCGTAGGGTAGTTCTATTTTTAATTTTTCGAGGAAACTCCAGACTTTTTTCCAGAGTGGCTGAACCAGTTTCCATTCCCACTAGCAGTGCAAAAGAGACCCTCTTTCTCCACATCCTCTCCAATATGTGTTGTTGCCTGAGTTGTTAATGCTAGGCATTCTGACAGATGTGAGGTGGTATCTCATTGTGGTTTTGATTTGTATTTCTCTGATGCTGAGTGATGTGGAGCATTTTTTCATGTGTCTGTTGGCCATCTGGATGTCTTCTTTGGAGATGTGTCTATTCATGTCTTTTGCCCATTTCTTTGCTGGATTATTTGTTTTTTAGGTGTTGAGTTTGATAAGTGCTTTATAGATTTTGGATACTAACCCTTTATCTGATACGTTGTTTGCAAATATCTTCTCCCATTCCATCAGTTGCCTTTTAGTTTTGCTGATTGTTTCCTTTGCTGTGCAGAAGCTTTTTATTTTGATGAGGTCCCAATAATTCATTTTTGCTTTTGTTTCCCTTGTCTCTGGAGATGTGTTGAGTAAGAAGTTGCTGTGGCCACGGTCAGAGAGGTTTTTGCCTGCTTTCTCCTGGAGGATTTTGATGGCTTCCTGTCTTACATTGAGGTGTTTCATCCATTTTGAGTTTATTTTTGTGTATGGTGTAAGAAAGTGGTTCAGGTTCATTGTTCTGCATGTCGCTGTCCAGTTTTCCTAGCACCACTTGCTGAAGAGACTGTCTTTATTCCGTTGGATGTTCTTTCCTGCTTTGTCAAAGATTAATTGGCCATACAGTTGTGGGTCCATTTCTGTGTTCTCTATTCTGTTCCATTGATCTGAGTGTCTGTTCTTGTGCCAGTACCATACTGTCTTGATGATGACAGCTTTGTAATACAGCTCAAAGTCCATCTTCCATATGAATCTTAGGAACAACTTCCCAAGTTTCCTGAAATACTCTTTTGGGATTTCGGTTGGTATGACATCATGCAGATTTATTTGAAGGAACTGACATCGTTAGGACACTGAGTCTTTCCATCTAGGAACATGGCATAACTTTCCGTGGTAAATATGGCTACAGATTCTTTGCACCTCCTATTAAATGGTGGAGCCTATTTCCCCACCTCTTATATCTGGGCTGGCTTTGCTCTTTGCTTTATCCACTAGAATGTGGCGGAAGTGGCATTTTGCAAGCTCCAGAGCTGGGGGTACACGAAGTGATATGGTTTCTGCGTTCACTCTCTTGGAATGCTGCCTTGAGACCACCATACCATAATGAAGCCCAGGATAAAAGAGCATATGGAAAGAGAAAGCTGAGCAGCTGTCTCAGCTAAGTTCAGTATCCAGCCAGCTGACCTGCCAGCTGAATGCAGCTGTGTGAATGAGCCTGCGTGAAAGCAGTGGAGAACTGCTTAGCCAACCCATAGAATTACAAGAAATGATGAATTGTTATTGATTTAAGCCATTAAGTTTTGGGGTATTTTACTCCACAACAAAGACTAGCTGAAAGAGAAATTGGTACCCAAAAGTGGGGTACAGCTATAATAACGACTTAACATATGTGGCATGGCCTTGGGACTGGGCAGTGGATAGAGACTGCTGGGGGAGCAAGGAGACTATTAGTGGAAGCTTGAAAAAACAGTGGGGAAACTACTATTAAAGTCCAGAAGGATAGTAAGCAATGTTTTGTGCTAGTGAAAAAATTGGCAAAACTGTTATCAACACCACATGAAGCAAAGGAACTACCTGGTTAACCCATAGAATCTTGAGAAATACTGAATTATTTTTACTATTATTGCATTGAGACAATAAAACAGTAAGTTTTGGGATGGTTTTATATAATATATAATTGAAATACTAATGAACTGGTGAGTCTGATTGTTATGGGCTGAATTTTCCTCAAAAAATGCATATGTTGAGGGGCGCCAGGGTGGCTCAGTAGGTTAAGCATCCAACTTCAGGTCAGGTCATGATCTCGTGGTCCATGAGTTTGAGCCCCACGTCAGGCTCTGTGCTGACAGCCCAGAGCCTGGAGCCTACTTCAGATTCTGTGTCTCCCTCTCTCTCTGCCCCTCTTCCACTTGCTCTCTCTCTCTCTCTCTCTCTCAAAAATAAATAAACATTAAAAAAAAATTAATGCATATGTTGAAGCCCTAACCCCCAATATAACTGTTTTTGGAGACAAGGCCTTTAGGAAGGTAATTAAGGTTAAATGAAGTCATAGGAATGAGGCCCTAATCCAATGAAACTGGTTTCCTTATAAGGGGAAGAGACACCAGAAATCTAGTAACCCGTCTATAGATGTTCTTGGATTTTTTTTTTTTAAAAATTAAGTTTGTTTATTTTGAGAGAGAGAGAGAGTGCACACGCGTGCATGATTTGGGGCAGGGCAGAGAGAAGGAGAGACAGAATCCCAAGCAGGCTCCACACCATCAGCACAGAGCCCGGTGCAATGCAGAGATCGAACCCACACAGTGAGATGGTGTCCTGCACCAAGATCAAGAGTCGGATGCTTAACCGACTACGCCACCCAGATGCCCCTTCTTGGATTTTTTTATACAGATAATAATATTATCAGGAAATGATGGTATTCATTTCAAATTATTATAGTTCATTTATTTTTTTCTAATCTAAGTCAGCAACACTTATTTTTGATATTGTTTTCATTTAATTTTGTAATAGGTATTATATTCACATGCTTTAAGAAACATGAAAAGGTGGGGTGCCTGGGTGGCTCAGTCAGTTGAGCATCCAACTCTTGATATCAGCTCAGGTCATGATCTCCAGGGACATGGGATTCTCTCTCTCTCTTTCTCTGCCCCTTGCCCGCTCGACCTTTCCCTCTCTCTCAAATGAAAAAAAAAAAAAAGAAAAGAAATGTTAAAAGGTGTGTAGTAAAAAGTTATGCTATATTTGTCATTCTTTTGTCTTATTACAATGGCAAATACAGTATTGACCAATTTGGCTATCAGCAGATGTCTC